CAGAGTCTGTGACCTTCCCATGCAGCTCCAGTCCGATGTTTGCTTACTGATGCACTGCAGAATGCACAGCAGACCAGCTGTATCTGCCGGGGGGTTCATGGGGACCTCGTAGGGTTTAAAAGCAGAAACCTGCACTTTAAAACAACCCACATGTTTATGGTGTTCTGGTTTGCATTTTAAGTTGTCATATTGTTTCTTTTTTGTAAATGTATTCCATGTTTTCTCAGCATTCACAAGCTATATTCTATATTGCTCATACAGATAGAATAAATGTTATAGCTGTAGCACAGCAACAACAGACAAATGTTATAAATGTCATTGCATTGACTTTTTGTGTGTTTCAGATATCTTAGATCTGCAGATAATCTTCTTAGATTAGCATTCGGACTGAGTACCATTTTGGAGTGAAATAGGGATCAGTTGCGCACTTGCACACAGTGATCTCACTGCTGAATGTCATGGAACAAAATCCTGACAAAATTGGGAACTTTACTTTATTGACTTCAGAGAGTGCGTGATGGGGTGGAATTTGGAATTTCGGTTGGAAGTGTGCTTTCAGCTTTTTTGGAAGAAGATTTTTTCTTTTTCTAGGAACTACCTGAGTCTAGAGACTACCTTCAGGTAGCAGGTGGAGTTTTAGTCCAAAGTAGACTGTACCTAGACTGGGAGGGCACCTTCTAGGTGAAAAGAAAACTTTTAGAAAAATCATTGACTGACATGGGTCAGGGTTAATGTTGACTTGTCTGGTGTACGCTGTGTGTCTTATAAAGCATTACATGTTACTCTTTCAAAAGTGTGCTCTGCTGATGGAAGAACAGCAAGCGGCTACTTTTAGGCCTCTGAAAAACAAACTTCACATTTTTGCCCCCAACACGGAGATTAAAATTTTAATGTTCTGTATGTGTGTGACTGTAGACTCAACTATCTTATACTGGAGTGCGATGTATTTCAAATCTAATCACTTCAGAAAGAGGGTGAGGAGACTAAGTGCTGGTAAGGGATTCAAAGTAAATCATCCTGTTTGAGACAGAGAAGTTCTCAAAAGGGAGGTTATTTGATCTTCTCTTATTTTGCTCTTGGATTATATATATTAAAAAAAATTACACGTTAGCATTTAAAGAATTTGTATCTCTGTGCACCTTATGTCAACCAGCTAGCCCTACATTTCAGATGCAGTGGCATTGAATCTACTTTTGTTCACAAGGCGGCTGTACGGCTTTCAAACTGTCATGGATAATTCCTTAGCTAAGATACTTTGAATTTTGGTGCCGTGTTTTCTTGTGAATGCTCAGGAAAGACAGATGGCTTTTGTATAAATGAATGAGATGAGTCCTTTGGTTGCAAATAGAAACCTGCATTTGGCATAAACCCCTTTCATTGTCAGGAGGCTGGTAAGCATCAGGGCACAGGGCTGTAGGGGGGGGTTTGCAGCATTACAATGAGATGGCCTTGGAGATTTTAATGAAGAGTAAGGAGCAAAAGCATACTGTAGCATATGGGCAGTGAGAAAACGCTTCAGCAAAGCAGTTCTGTTCAGTACTTCACTGTGCATATTTTGTCCTTGTTTGTTTTAGTCATCTATTCAGAGCTTAGCTGTTCAGTAGACTAATACAATAGATGTTCTGAGAGGAGTCAGTATTCCTTCAAAAGACGTTGAAAATAAAATGGTGTTTGGAGGAGTTGCTGGTTTTTTGGGGGAAGCAATTTGTAAGGTCAAAAGTGGGGATCAGTCATCAGGGATCTGTCAGAAGGACCATTTTCAGGCAAACCTGATTTCTGGATACCCAATATGTCCTACCCTGCTGCATTTCAGTCATGTCAGAGTTCAAGATGAACCGTGTAGCTGAAGATCATGAATTCTGGAAAAGAAAATTAAATTGAGGGATGCTGTGATATGCCTTATGGTATTTGTGTCTTTCATATGTTCAGTTTGTGTTAAGATACCCATGAAGCACTCTGCAATCATAAAAAGCTATGGGCAGGTTCCCTTGAGTGTGTAGATATGTAAGCAATATATTCCTCTAGGTGGCTGAAAGCTTTTCAGGTAGTATGGTGAAAGTTGCCTTTACTGCTTTGTTTGGGTTTGTTTGTTTTTGTTGGGTGGTTGTGGTTCCCTCCCCACCCCCAGTTAAATTGATACCGATGCACATTTGTGGGATATTTTTCAGTAAACATTAAGCTATAGCAGATGATGGTCTTTATTACCTATTCTTCTTGATAAGTGTCACTAAGATGGAAATCAATGGTTTCCTACAGCAAACTGGAGTGTTTGGAAATGTAGAGATTTGTCCTATTGCTTTCCATTGTGAATTACCAAAGATTTCTTCAAACTCCTCCCCATCTGAGAACAAGGTAGGCTGCTGTAGCTTTAGGGTGTATTAGGGTGTAGAGGATTCGTGCTAAAAATGTCTCTTGGTACTTTGTTTTCTTTCTTTTCTAATTCAGGTATCGGAGCTCTCTTAAGAAACGCTCTTGACACACTGTGGTGTGCTTTGGATTGTTTTAAACAAGCCTGGGCTTTGGTAACTGGGCACTCCGTATCATTTTGACACATTTTTCTAATATACAAAATTTGAACCCTCATAAGTAAGTTTTTAGGTTTGCTTGAACAAATAATTCCTTTTGGTGGGTCACAGCCAGCCTGCCACGTGTACGGACTATTTCTTTTTGTCCCCTCAAGATTACTTTTATTTTTAATCTGAACAGCTCTCTGCATAGGCAAAACTGGGAAGTTAAGTCTTTGTATCACTATTCCTCTTTTAATTTTTTTTTTGTTTTCAAAATTTATTAATTGCATATTTCACTCTCAAGGCAAAAAGGGAGTGGTTAACCTGAAATAAATAAATAGGTAAACCCAAATTTAAAGTTGAATCTGAGCCTTGAATGGCAACAGAATGCTATTAAAAAGATAAAAGTATAATTCTGTTGCTGGAATATTCAGAAATCCTGAGAGAGGTGCCAGCCGTCATTGAAATTCACCCATAAAATTTATTCAAGACTAAATTCAGTGAAGTACTTTCAGACACCTTCTGAAATACATATTTTCTTTTCTTTTTTTAATCCAAGGCAGCACCAGGTGAGCCAAAAGTCCACTCTTCAGGACTTCAGGCCTCCTTATCTGCCACTGCATGATCCGTTATTTACTGTTCTTTCAGGGCGAAACTTTAAAAGGATTTGAATGAAGTTAAATGTCCAAATCCCATTCGGTTGTGTGCTTAATCAGATTCTGGGTTTTTTAGATAAAGGAAATCATGTTTCCTTTTTATTCTGCTTATTGACTTCACTGGAAATACTTGGGTCCTTAAGTAATAGGGTCTAACTGCAGAATCTGTTTTTTTTTTTTTGTCAAATTAATTTTGTCAAATTTTCATCCATATACATCTTGTTTTAGTAGGTAGGGATGTTACGTGTTTTTAGAACGGAATCAGGTTTTTTGTGATGGAAGCTGAACATCATGAATAAAAAGGATAACTTCTTGCGTTGCCACTCTTGTCATCTGTAGCTGAGTGTATACATGAAAAGTATTCACAGGAAATCTTGTATTGAACTGAACGGAACGAGTTACCAGCGTTAACAGATGTTGGCTATCTGTTACTTGCTCCTATGTTATTTGACAAGGAGAGTGCTAGGGTGGCCTGGCTGGAAATGACGGCTGTTCCTAACGGAACATCCTTTCCTCCCTATCTGCAACCTGGCATCAGAAGAAGTTGTCAGCCTGGGCTTGGAAAACGCACAGCTGCACATGTGTGTTAACTGCCTGGGTGTTCCTGGTAATTATTTTTTTAGTATATTTTGATTACATGTACAGAAAGATGACATAATATATAAACTGTTATTTAGCCTGAGAACTTGCATACTACTACTCCTGCAGTCTCTCTTTATGTTGGTAAGAGACATGTTATTTTAATTAAGAGGCTGTATACCCTGAGGAGGATCATGCTGAGTTAAGACCTTGGTCCTGAAATATTACAAAGTAGGGAGAGGTTACCTATGACTGCCCTGGAAGTGTGTGTGTGTTTCTTTTAAATCCTCTCCATATTCTTAAAACAAGCCCACCTAACCTGAAAGAAATGCAAGCTATTCCTGTTAGACCTATGTCGAGCCAGAGCTCCCTATGCGGAGAAGCGGATTCTGCTTCTCCAAGTTTTCTTCTGCAATGAACAGCTGGGTTTTCTCCTTGAAAGGCCGTGCTCATAGGTTAGCTGCTCCAAATCTAGAACTGAATGCTATTCCCAGCAAAAATGCTAACATTTGACAGAGATTTAACTTGATTTATAGGTTGATTTGTAGGTTACACCTGCTCCGCCACTCATTCCTGATGAGATTCTAACAATGTGCTGGGGAAGTGCAAGAGCAACACAGAGCTGTTGGGCATATTCTCTCCTGCTTGGTTTGGGGTTTTTTTTGTTGTTGTTGGGGGGGGGTGGCGGGGGGGTTGGGCGGCATGGATATTGGAGAGTGTTGGGGACATAGAAAAGCAAAAGATTTATGGGAAACGGGAATATGGAATATTCCAGGGTATATTTGACTCATTCTTGAAAGTGATTGTCTGAAGGAAAACTTGATTATTTGTTCATTTCGTGTTTTGAGAGCTGAGGCAAAAAAAAAACCCCAAACAAACAAAAAACAAACATAAAAGGAATAATTTCAGAAAAGAGTTGTTTTTAAAATTTAAAATTAGCTGTTTCTTGAATATTGACTTCGGAGTCCACAGGATATAAAGGTAAGGTTTGCAAAGGTTGGTAAAGAAAAAGGGAGATTTGCCCTGTGTATGGCTGAGTTCACATACAAACTAGTGTGCTTATTTTGAAGTGCAATGATACTTTTTCTAAGTATGGCAGCCCTAAATCTTCAATTCAGTTTTGCATTAAGACTAACAACTTTGAAGTATTAGTTTCTCCAAGGGTTGAATTGACTGTAAAATGTAGGAAAAATGTCCTCAATTAAGAGATACGATGTAATTCTTTTTCAAACTAAATTGTTTTTCTCTGTTCTTTTAGGGTATAAAGCCAGCAAGTTTTGAGAAAGTTACTGATCCTGAAATTAAGGAGATAATCGGAGAGTGCATTTGCAAAAATAAGGAAGAAAGGTTTGTTTCAAGTAATCAAATTTCATATTAAAAAATGTGTATGCAGGGATTTCAAAGCTGTCTTTGGATTTTTGTTCTGGCCTCTGGGTCTCCCGTGTTCAGGAGAAAATACGGAATGGAGATACAAGTACAAATGATTGCCTACTTTCCTGCCATATAATGTCAGGATAATTGAATAAATGCTGCTGTTGTGTGTCTCAGCTTCAGAGAATAAGGTCAGAAAGCATCGTTGTTGATGTGTGAGCTAGTGTATTCTAGCACGTTCTGGCATAGCTGTCCGTAAAATCTCACTCAGGAGGTTCTGTGTGGAGCATCAAGTGTAGCAGAGGTCGACCACGAATGGGAGATGGTCGATTCACCACAAGCTGTTAGAGCAGATTCCATCGACTCATTAGCCTTTGGATATGGAGACAAATTGTGCCTTGGTTTCAGCTTTGGTTTTAAAGCCTAATCTTATACTGGCCTCTCCTAGATGAATTTGGCTTCTGTTCGGCATTTCATAACTTTCACAAATACAGTTTTTATGGACCTCAACAGACTACCTAGAAGGAACCTCTTTTTTTTTTTAGTACTTTTTAAGCTCAGATGCTCAAGTGAAGTTGAGCAAAGCTATAATCTGCATTTCTGCACACACTTCTGGTGTATGAATATTGCTGAAGCTTTGTGAAATAGGAAACGTCATTTTTTCAGCAGTCCTCAGTATGTCTTTTTTGCTAAGGACACAAATTTGTTAAGGATGAACGCCAAACGTACTGGAAATGTTTTCACCTTTAACAGCAGTTTCTTGTCACAAACCTTTTTGAATTTGCTCAAAGCCTTGCAGTATTTGAATATTCTTTATATCCATTGCAGATATGAAATTAAAGATTTATTAAGCCATGCCTTTTTTGCTGAAGATACTGGGGTAAGAGTGGAACTTGCAGAAGAAGACCATGGTAGGAAATCCTCTATTGCCTTAAGACTCTGGGTAGAAGATCCTAAGAAACTGAAAGGAAAACCCAAAGATAATGGAGCCATTGAGTTTACTTTTGATCTGGAGAAGGAAACTCCTGATGATGTTGCACAAGAAATGGTAAAATAAACTTCTCCTAACAAAAATGTACACATATAAAGTAGTGCATAAACCTCAAATGACAGCGGGAACAAATCTGGTAAAGTAACTTCCACTTAAACCATTCCAGGTGCCTAGTTTAAGCAGTTTGTGTTGATTTTAGAATGAATGCTGCGAGAAAGGGGTAAATGGGAAAGAACTAATAACTGAAAAATACTGTTTACCAAGTATGAAAACAGATGCATGAAATGGCATTTCCAATTGCTTAGGGACTATTCTATATTTTGAAAACTTTTGCCAATTTCCGTTAACTGTTGAATGTCTTTAAATTTGTTTGGACTCTTTTTAGTTTCAGACAGCAGCTTGAAATAAATTAGAAGAGTTCAAAAGTTCAATCACAAAATATTCTGCACTGAATTCTTGAAAACACTTCTTTCCATCTTTTCTGTCAGTGTTACTTAAGAGGAATATAGATGAGGAAAGTCTGTGGTCAGCCACTCTTATCAGCAAACATGAGTAGGAAACTAGATTTAAAGCCCACTGCACAGCATTAGGAATAAGCTTTGGATTTTTTAATAGATAAATTTAACTTGGTGAATTTCTGTATCTTCATAACTTGTGGGGTTTTGTTAGAAAAACTATTTTATGTTCTGGTTTCGCTATATAGTCCTTGAACTCATATTTTAATGATGTCTTCACTGCAGTTGTTTAGGTTTTCTAACGTCATGGAGACATAGAATCAGTAAGCACTGAGTCAAGGGTCTGAATTTTCTTGTGCTTGCAGAAATGTTCCTATTATAATCTAAATCCCAAGGGATCCCATTTAATGATGTTGTCATCACCACTCATGTTCTGCTTATGAGGCACTCGTTTTGGTAATGTTGCCTTACTGTGCTTGGACTCATCACCGTGTACTCCAAATTTAGTGGGAGAAATTCAGGCTCCTCTGTCTTCTTGTCATTAGTCTGCTGCTGCAAACACTGTCCAATATTTTTTGAGCAATGTATTGTTACAGAACGAATTTCTTTTAAAAGTTGCTCTGGTACAGTTAACTTGCTGTTATATTTTGCATTTATATATTTATGGAAACATTTGGAATTTTGAAGTTCTGTAGGTTACTTGGCCCATAGTTGTTGTATTTTGTTTTGAAGAGGAAATAATTCTTGTAAAGAGTATATTTAAAAGGATCACTCCCAAACTGCTGTGATACTATACCCCTTCCCAAAGAATTTTAAAACCTGTGTTTTACTATTACATTAACAGTTACCTAAGTGACTGCCTATGAAATGCTTTCAAACTTGAGGCTGTTGGGGGAGGGTGTAAAGGAGGACATTTATTCTTAAATGTCTTTTTCTAGCCCTTATGAATTGTGGAACATCAAAGCCAAGTGCTTTCATCAATTTGTGTCGCTTTATGTGCTGTGGAAGAGAAGAGTGCAGGAGACCTCTTGAGTATGGGGAATTATTTGTCATTATTGATGGGTTTTCAGCAGTCAGGCATTCCAGCCTCTCCAAATGATGTGGGGCAAAAGGAAATTGAAATGTTGTGGTGGGTTTGCAACCTGAAGTTACCTTTCACAACCACTGGGTACTGTAAAATAGCATGTTGTCATTAAACTTTAACCATTCTCTAGATAGAGATGTAGGAATAAGAATTGTTTAAAAAAATTGATAATGGGGCAGGTTTTCAGTGCCTTCTTGTGAAGCTTTTCCATAAAGAATCAACTGGGCATGTTAGTTACTACCATACAAGGTTCTCTGGACCTGTGTGGTTCTTCTCCCGAGTAACTCCCTTGTGTCATTAGCATTTGCAGGATCATCAGTTCAGGAATGTCAGTAAGGTCTGAGGGCATAGGCAGTGGAAAATACCCATATCCATCTGCAGCAGTATTTTAAGCTGCTTTGCACCTATTAAACAGTGAAAATCTAAACTGTAAGACTGTGTCATGTCTGGGCAAGAGCAAAGAAGGAAAACCTCTAGATTTCTTCCATGTATGTAAGTGCTTCCAAATCTGTAGAATATGCATGTTAAGAATGTAGAGGGAGCAGACAAATCTCTGGTAGGTCATTATTAATCTAAAATTCGTACCCTACGCTGTAGGAGATTATGCAAACAAATAGCATAAAGCTGATTTTCCATTTTATCTGTTGAGCAGTTGAATTCTGAGAAAGCCCGGTCCACTTTTCAGTCAAATGTGAACAGTCTGCATTTGACTCTGTGATAGGCTTTTTCTTTATAAAAGCCAATCAATACTGACTGACCTTACCATTTAAGGGAGGTTAATTTGAGACAAAATTCTGTTAACATCTTTTCCTTCATGACTTGCTGTGATATCAAGCACAGCAATTTGGGAAACTGTGTATACTGGAAAGGTTAAGGTAATAAATTCTGGTTTAGGGGTAATATGGTTTACTCCAGTTGCATTGTTCGAAGAGGATTTTTCAAAGGTGTTTTTTTTCCTCTTTTGACTATTCTGTTACTCTTTTCAAAAGGAAAAAAAAAAGGAACTCATCTGCGGTTAAACTTGATCTCTTCTCAGTGGATGTTAACTGATGAATAAATTCACCCAATATATATTCAGGTTTTAGAAATTACGTATTGTTGCTTTAAAATGCATTAGGGATAGAAATTTTATTCAAAAAAAACCCTATCAAGCTCTTGAGTTCCTGTTCTTGTGAGGAATAAATCTGTAACTCATGTTTATTTCAAACTGATGTTTTCTCTGTTAGGAAGAGATTTGAGTAATACGTGTGTATGTGTGCAGATTGGTGCACACATAATCTTGCTAAGTTTGTGCCTCCTCTGTAGATTGACTCTGGATTTTTTCATGAAAATGATCTCAAGATAGTTGCGAAGTCAATACGTGACAGAGTAGCGTTAATACTATGGAGAAGAGAGAGAATTTGGCCTAGGATGCAGTCAGAGGAACGTCGGGACTCTGAATGTCTGGAGAAGTTGAAGACGCCGCATGCGCAGCAGGTCCAGGTCACCTACCTGTCTCACACTGGTCACCATGTGCTGTCAGAGTCGGAGGAGCCCGAGGCAGACCAGCATCCCTTTCAGCAAAACCTGCCCACCAGCGTCACCTCCGTTGCATGTAAGTTAGTTTTCTGTGCGCACTGTGATGAATGTCCGAGGGTAAAAATCAACAATAATCTGAGCTCAGCAATGAGATGAGCTGCTGTGCGTGTTCTTGCGCAGTAGTGCAAAGTTACAAGAGTCTCAGACAGATGTGTAACAACTCTGAAAGAAATAAAGTTTCAAGAAAAACTGTGTTGCATAGAGATAGTTCCTCCTTCGGTAGCAATAAATGCAGAAAACAGGATAGCTTTGTAAATGGAAAACCAAGGAGACCTGCTGCTAGACACAAAAAACTATGTGTTTTTTTGTGTCCAGTTCTGGGCTCCCCAATTCAAGAAAGACAAGGAGCTACTCGAGAGAGTCCAACGGAGGGCAATGGAGATGATGAGGGGACTGGAGCATCTCTCTTATGAGGAAAGGCTGAAAGAACTGGGTCTGTTCAGCCTGCAGAAGAGAAGACTGAGAGGGGATTTCATCAATGCTTAGAAATACCTTAAGGGGGGGTGTCAAGAGGATGGGGCCAGACTCTTTTCAGTGGTTCCCAGCGACAGGTTAAGGCACAATGGGCACAAACTGAAACTCAGGAAGTTCCATCTGAATGTGAGGAAGACCGCCTGTACTTTGAGGGTGACCGAGCACTGGAGCAGGCTGCCCAGAGAGGTTGTGGAGTCTCCTTCTCTGGGGATATTCAAAACCTGCCTGGACACGGTCTCGTGCAACTTGCTGTAGGTGACCCTGCTTTGGCAGGGTGGTTGGATGAGAGGATCTGCAGAGGTCCCTTCCAACCCAGACCACTCTGGGATTCTGTGTGATGGGATCAAAACTAAGTTTGTGCAAAACACCATTTCAGAGCCTGCAGAAGCTGAATTGGTACCAAACTGATCAGGGCGACTGGTGGCTTTTCCAAATAATGTTGGTAATGTGAAGATGTCTATTCAAAAGCACACCTTGCTGAAACCAAAGCACTGGAGTTTCTTGTGTTTTACAAGTTATTCTTGAAGGCTGGCATGAAGTTTTTTGTGAAGCTGTGCAAAGATCTACAGCAGGAAAAAAAAATTCCATCTCTGAATGTTACATGATGTCATTCAAGATTTCCCTGTTTTGTGGGAAATACTAGCTGTGGTTCAGTCACGCATTTTGGGAGCACCACACCTTGTGGATTGATGCTGTAATTATTATTGGGGTCCTTAGGTCACAATGCAGGTGGTCTCTCTGTTCCTCCAGGCGCTCTATTTTGTCCTGAGCTCATGGCCTTGAAGCAAGGGGGTTGTTTCATCTTTGTTACGGCAGTTCAGAGTGGGTGGTTGCTCTTGTTCATCCAGAACCTGGTAGCTAAAAGCCGATGATCTGCCAAGACTTTACATTCCACTGGGGGCTGATTGGAGAGTGATCGCCAGGCTGTTTCAAGACAGGTGGATTTACATCTCCTGTTTTAATTCCAAGCACTGATTTTGGTCTATCTCTGAATAAGAAACTACCTGGGTTTGCTTGCAGAGCTTTTTGTTTCTTTGTTTTATTTCTGAGCATCAGACTTATCTCCAGCAAACAGTAAGGCATGAGGAAATAGTGGTTTTATTTCCCTAAAGTAACTTGTCCCTGGCTCTGTCCCCTAAAATCAACCTTTGTTACCGAGTCAAGCTCTGGTATTGAAATCTTAATCTGTTTATTCTTTTAAACATCTTGAAGGAGATGTTGCCAGATATTTTTAGCTTGGAAGATTTTAAATGTTATGATAGTTCTTTTTTTTTGTAGCCAGTTTTTCTGATAAAATCTGATGTACCTATTTTGCTACTAAACTATTATTGTAATGTTTCTGTTTTACTGTTCTGGACTTTTATGTAAGCATATTTAAATTAAAGATGCATTATCTTTAGCAAAGAGACAGCTGCTGCTTTAATTCAGGTACTGTATAAATTGCTATACAGAGGTCTGCTTTGAATACTAAAATAACCAAGCATGCCTCTACCAGAAAATAAACCTTTACAAGATATGAGAAATGTCCACATGTGCATAACACTTGCAATATTGCAGTATTTACAAAGCTTTTTTTCTGAAGCTAAGTTGATCTCATTTCATTTTTTTGGATCCTATACATATTTCCTGCTATCGGATTCCTTTGAGAAACACCATAATTATGACTCTCTTTGTTTCCAGTGGTACAGTGAGGCTACTTGTGCTTCCCATGCTTCTGCTGGACATGAGTTGGCAGAATTTTATACTACATGTAAACCCCCCAGTTTATTTCCTATTCCTCCTCAAATGTTAACCAATACTTGGTATTATTTGACAATTGACTATAGAATGTCTTTCAACATTTTCTTAGTGATGTTAGACCTAAGACCTCTATAAATTACTGTTCTAACAATTCATATAATAATCTGGGGTTGAATGTAAAAATGTAAACTAATAAATTTCTGTAATGCATGTTGTTCTATAAAAATCTGAGAGTGACTCACAGCTTTTACTTTAGCACTGTACCATCATACTCTTTTTTCCCTTGAGGTCTTAAATAATTGTTTGTAATAAAATGGAAATGTGTATGCGGCAGAAATCCCTGCCACCTTAGAGGAGGGCCATGTTCACTCTTTTTGGAAGTGAGCTGAATAAATACAGGGGGGAGTTTAATTTTGCAAAAAAAAAGTTGGGAGAATAGTTTGTGAGTACTGAGGAGAAAAGTCATCTTTGGTGCTGTTAAATAATTTGTTACTTAAAAGCCAAATATGTAAAACCTTATTTGGAATATGGAAAAAAAGAGAAGATGGAAAGTGCTGGAAAAAGAGATAGCATTTAAACTTAGCTGTAATTTAAGCCATTTTTTGGTAACTGTGTTACAGTTTTCTTTCTGTTTAAATTTTAAATCTCTGTTACAAGCTCTTTGTCTTTTGGATACTTACAGCTACAGTCTTGATTGTGTCATTTCGTTTCTTGAGAAGACAGTAGCTTATGCTCAAGAACAACTGGGCACCTGTACCTTTCAGGCTTCAAAAATCATGAAAAGACATTTTAAAATCAGTAATACTCAATGGTACAGCTTTGTTTCCATTGGACAAAAGATACGGTGCTTGCCCAGTACCCATAGCTGTGCAATTCTGCAAGTTAGCTGGGCAAACACTCTGCACAAGAAACTCCAACAGAGCACTGAATGTGCTCCTGAATCACTGCAAACCTGTAAATTTTGTTACCTGTTCTTCATCTTGAGGTGTTGCTACATACTCAAGTAGGGTATGATTTGCTGAACTAATGAAGTGTACAATGTAAAGAATTTTGTACCTTCGATGCTACTAATTAAAAAAGGTGTTAAAGTCAGTGCATCCCTGGAAGATCTAACTCTAAAAGACTCCATGATCTGCTATGAACATTACAATCGGTAATTTCCTTTCATCCTCCAAAATCTATAAATATCTGCAATTCTTAATGTCAACCTTATGCCCTTTAAAGGAAATATCAATGTGCCTAAAATATCCATGAGGATGTTTTTTGGCTTAAGAGGAGCGGTATGTGCCTTTTGTAGAAAATAACATTTGTGTTGTATAATTTATTTATATAACCGAAAGGGCTAGGGTAGTAAAAATGCTAATTATGTAAACCAGTGTTGACTGCTCTAAAATCATTACTTGAACATTTGGAGTTGCTGAGCTTTTAATAAAAAAGATTGTTCTTTCAGCCGACAGCACATTTGACAGTGGCCAGGGCTCCACTGTTTATTCGGACTCCCAAAGCAGCCAGCAAAGTGTCATCTACTCATCTTTGCCTGATCCTGTACCTCCTGCTATCCAGCGGGTGTATAGCCCACCTGTGAGCGAGAGCCAGGCTGTGCCCCATAGCCTTCAGCAGCTGGGGCACTACCAGCAGCCCTCAGGAGTAAGTCTAAAGCTTTTTGAAATCATTTTGTATCCTAGATCATACTTAGTGGCTCATTTATACTCTTGTTTTCAGTACGTATGGATTCCAGGGCTTGCTTTATAGATTCCTCACTCACTCCTATCGATGGTGACTTGTGTAGTAATACATTTCTAGCTGATCTGAAATGTGCACTTAGTAGATGGTGTATAGCTAGCTGTATTTGCCATTCTGAAGAAATGCTTCACTGGCAGCTCTCATACTTTCAGTAAAAAAAAAACTTCTTATCAATCTGTTGTCACTGAACTACATTAGTAGCTTTGAAATGATTAGTTATAAACTCATGCATGTAGTTGAGAACAGTTCTGTTTGGTTTTGTTCACTGTCAGTATAGCCACACGTTATCGTTCATTCATTTGTTCAAGAGCCTCTTGGGTCTGATGTTTCTTCCAGTTGTGACAAAAGTCACAGATCCAGTCTGTGCCTTTCTGGCTCTGGATTTGGATTTAATCTTGCACAGAGTCGACAATGTGCATCCATTACTGAGGCTCCAAAATCAAGCACTGGTAGCCCAGTCAGACGTTCACACTTGCTCCCATTTTTATGCTGTTATGACCTTGACCAAAAGCAATTAATGGAACTACTGGTGCAAGAACAAATGCATGTGAGCGAACATAAATCTTCAGGTGCTTCCAGTGAGAGGCATGATGTGAGTGTGTTAAGTCCTTCAGAAGCTGTGGCAACACTGTGTTCTGTTTCCAGCCTGCGCCCATCAGACTTGACAGGCACCGTTTGTGCTGCTTTTCGCTGCCACAGCGACCATGTCATGGCTTTGACTCCAAATGCGACGTCCTTTCCCCAAGAAGCGGGAGAGGAAAACGCGTATCTGCAGACTAGCGAAGAGGCTGCAGGCCCATTGCCTCTGGTGGCACTGGCGACCTCTGCAAACCTTACAGAACCAATGTCTCGTCAGATGTGCCTAGCCGCTTTATTTCAGTCTGGTCAAGATCAAAACATGTCAGAAGTCTTGATGCTTGTTGAAAGTGCTCTCTCCCCAGGTAGCCAACTCCCAGAAAACTCAATGTCTCAACCTCTTCCCCAAATAAGCAGGCCATGTGGCAGAAACTTAGGCCTGCCTCTGTTACATGAGTCGTTACAATATGTAGTTAGCCAAAAGACTCGTTCTTCTTCCATGAGATCTTCAAGAGTTGCAGAAACCATTCTGCCTTCTGAATCCTCCAATGGCGGAGAAGCCAACGTGTCTGGATTGTCCCAGACCTATTGTAAAGTGTGCACTGGCAAAACACCGCTGGCAGAGAGCAAGCTGGTGACTGCAGTGGAAGCAGCCTGCCTAGTAAAAATGACAGTAATGATGTAACAGGTTAATTATTTTTTTGTTTATCCTATCTGACTTAAGAAAAAAATAAAATCCAGGACCAATGTTTTTTTCCTGCTTGATCCACATTTACCCTGCGTAATTGTGAAGTGCATAATTTTCCCTGGTTTTACCTTAAATTTTCCAAAATGCCTGCGAGAAATTCTGAACTGTGTTTTGTGAGTGCATTGACACATGACTCCATTTACCTGAAGGAAAAAATTCATCCTTGGCACTTGTAGCCAGCTCCCTCCACTGTGGAAATCACCTTTCCTTTGGGATGCATCCTTCCTTGTTTCTTGTTCAATGGAAGCACTCACTTAATGACTTTAAATACAAAGCTCAAAAAGTACAGCTTGAGCAGAATCTTTTTCATTAAATTGAGCTGTGCAGCATACTCTTTTAGAGCAGACTCAATCTTTCCATTGATAGGTTTCAGCAATTTTAACTTAAATACGTTACTTTTTTTCATGATTGAGTGTTTGGAAAGATAATAACCTGTATTCATGAGCAAAATATTTCTCATAGCTTTTTATTTCCTGATGGAGCTACCGTATTATTTTTCTTCCTGCTGTAACTTAGGTAAGAAGTTCCAAAGTTTGAAAATCTGAACAAACACAGGAAACAAAAGTCTGACTCAAAACCTTCCATTTTCCAAGGGGGAAAAAAAAATCACTGTATTTGTTTGGGAGATTATTTACCAAGATAACAAGCACATAACTGGAGCTATAGTAGGGTTTGGGTTTTTTTTAGGCTTATGCACCTCAGTCAGACGTACTGTTTACTTTTAATTTATCTGCTTTGTCTCAACTGAACTTTTAGAGAACTGCTGCTGTTAAAAAACCTTATCTGAATTTCTTTTCATTTTTATTTTCACTTCCACTGTGGTTTTACTTTGTTTCTTGTTTCTCTATTTGTTTTCTTGGCATCCATTTCAAGTAAATTACCTGCTTTTTTGGAAGATAAAGATTCTTGATGAAATTATAAAAATGATGTTAAGATAAATTTCTGTTTCATCCAGTTAACAGCTTGTTGCTGCTGTTGGTATATTCTTAGTCACTGTGTATGCGCTTTCACCGGTTTTACTGATCTGCATGCTTGCTTCCAGAAAGAAATGCAATGTAGTTTGGTTGTCTTATTTGGAATTTGCTGACTTTTTCCTCGTTTTTAGATTTTAAGTAACTTTCCATTCCTTGCAGATAATTTTTCATAGGGTTCCCCCGGCCCCCTCTCTGTTTTGAACCAAGTACCCAGTAGACTATTTACTTGCAATTGTGTTCTTGAGGAACAGTTGTAGAGGCTCTTAACATGAGGGTTGCTCTTCTCTAAAGCAGTGCTCTCCCTCCCGCAGCCTGGCCTCCCCGCAGTTCAGGCCGCACCCGCGGTGGTCTCCCAGCGCCCTCAGCACTACCAGGAGCCGGCAATACCATTCCCCGTCGTCCAGCCCACCACTGTTCCCTCCCTGCAGCTGGGGCAGCCGCAGCCAGTACTGACCGGCCAGCAGGTAAGAGCTTGGCAGCTGCCAAAAAAAGCGCTTTTCTCATTTCGTTCCTTACCCGTTCTCAACTCCAACCCATACCTGTTACAAGCCTGAGGTGCTTGAAACTCTTAAACTGCCACTTGAGAGACGTTGGGATGGGGCAAAGGGCATTGGGTTTAAGGGATGGCTTGAGGACAAACGTTGTGTGATACCTTAGAACATCTTAATGTAGTTTAAGACTTCTCTTGCATTGTGGCTTGACAGCATTGGTTTGAAGCCTTGCATTGATTTCATTGTGCTGTCTTGGTCCTTAAAGATCCAATAGTTTTTTATTAATTTTGCGTTACTATTTGACACCTCCTTTCTAAAAGGTTAGAAAGACTCTGTTGCCTGGTGTCAATTGTCATTGAATCCTCAGCGATGCTGCTTTTCGAGTTGTACACACGTGTTAAATATAATTCAGTACAGGCATCTAGCCATAGCTTTATCTTCCGAGAGAAAAGTCTGCCTCTCTCTGAATTGCCTGTCTCTAAATAGTAATTCTTTGTGCATTTTGAATTATCAAATTCCCCCCAAAACCTGTGTTCCTGGAAGGTATTTACAAGTCACCTCTCTCGAGCAGCTGAGGGGTGGCTGTGAAGGCTGCGATTGCCTTCTTGTGCAGAGCTGGTGGCAGCCCATGAGGAATGTGGCCACAGACCTATACGGCACGGTCGTTTGTGGCTCTTTTTTGCGATTCTACCAAAAGCTTGGCTTCCTTCGGTAGAAACTGTTGACGGGACTGGGGAGTGTCTGTATACCTTGTGAGTGGCATGTATCATAGCTCTCCAAACCTTTTTAGTTATCAACATTTATCTCACAGGTTGCCTTTTTTAAAAGCATGCCCTATTCTTCTGAAAGCATCAGTATAGGAACAATGTCATTTGGTCTGCTTGAAAAACATACGCTTATGTGAAGGTTTGTCATATATCAGGGTTTTTTTTCTAATGGGCAGGGATATTCTCATGGTTCTCTCAGCCAAAAATTTTACACTTCTGCAGATTTAGGACCTCACCAGTCGCACAGCATCTCTCTGGAGCTGACAGTTCAAAATCTATTGTTTATTTTCCCCCATGAGTAAATGCTGGTTTGGAATAGAATATTTGCCCAATTTCTTTCACATGCCCTTTCCTCACAGCATTGCTGTCTCTTGAAATAATTCTATCCCTGATAGTAAAAGGATTTAATAACTGGTCTGTCTTTGTTTTCTAATCTTGCCAAGAATCCCAATAAGACTGACTTTTTACAGTATTATTATTACAGAAGTAGATAAAATGATAAAGTTTCTGTGCAGAACTTCCCAGAGCACTTGTGTGCCTCAGAGACAGAAGTAGGTCTGGTGTTCACCGAGTCTCCAGGCACGATGAGCAGTGGAGGTCTGCAGTCTGCTGTAAATGAACAGTAGGGCAGGTCAACAAAAGAATGGGAAATCAGGGTGAGGAAATTCATCTGCCTAGCAGAATAAAATGTATTGATCTTGTATGAATATACACTGATGGCTCAGACACATGGGATCAGTGTTGCTTCTCCTGATTATCTTTTTTTTTTTTAGCACAGTTTGAGTATCTGTGCATTTATAATGTTAAGGTTATAATGAGGCTAAGTTAGCATAATTCATTTGGATATTTTCCTCTCCCTATGCTTCATCCAATTCACAAGCATTTTGTAAGACACAAGTGGGATTTTAAATGGAGGCGTTAGGAAGCTGCTTAGTTCCCTGAGCACAATTTTTCTGCTTTTAATGCAGTGTCCTCTCAAGCTGAAGGTGGGTTGAACAGCCTGTTGTCAGCGTGCTCAATCCTCGGTTATCTGTGGGCAGCCTGTCTGAGCTGCAGATTAACCCAGCCGGGGCTGCTGAGGTACCTGAGCTGGCTTTGGTTGCCAGCAAGGTTTGTTAGCTCCAGCCCGGCACCGCGTGCCTGTGACTGTTCTGCTCCTGAGGTCGGGTTGGGTCTGGCAGGAGTTTCCCTTGTTGCAGAGCTCACATGGTGGCACGAGTCGGGTCTGCTCGAGTTGTGCACACGTCTTGAATGTAGTTGAGTATATTTACTGAATATATGTTTATATACGTGCCTTGGGTGGGTGCCATCTCAACCGGTTTGCTTTGTCTCATCGGCAGTGCCAGGCCAGCTCCTGCTGAGCTGCTTGTGTCAGCTCTGCCATTCCCTTGAGTTTGGGATTTTTAATTGGGTAAATGTCCTTACTTTCCCAAAACCTGGAATGACAGAAACTGCAATATAAAGCCATGTGATTGGTTTTTTTTTCTTTAATATGGCAAGAGGAATACTTTGGCAGGACTAATAAATGCTGTAGGAGCTAAGCTGGTGCTGTGCAGAGTTATTCAATACCATCTCCAGCATGTCTTGCACTGCTCGTAGCATTTGGTGCATTCAGCCCCAGACACTCAATACTAGTTGCCAAATACTGTTTTGTTCACTGATCCTTGTGTTGGAAAAAAAACAATTTGTGGTTGAATTTTGGCTATTTAAGGGTGGATGACATCTTGCTTCCTTGATACATCTTCTACAGTTTTATTGTATTAATACCTAAAAACTGGTTGAAGAATCCTGCCACTAAAACAGTGCAGAGCAAAATATGATACTGATATACAGTGGAAGTGGCCAAGGTGAAAGATCATAGTGCTTGACTATTCATTTTAAAGTTACCTTTTGACCATTGGCCATGGCGTTAAGTTCTACATGCTGGAGAGCCTGGATGAAGCAGTCAATCCTGTGGTCCCAAGTAAGTTAGTCCAGAGCCAGCTTGGTGCCTCGGTGCCATGCTTCTGAAACAGATGATTTTTTTTTTTTTAAAGTACTTTCAGCATTAATTAGAGTAACTGAAGGAGGAAATACAGGTAGCATGGAAAATGTGAAAGTTAGTTACTGATTATTTTCAGCTTTAATGCAGCTTTTTATTTCTGTTCTACTGTATAAAATCTGGCAGGGCAGTGGAGCACTGTTTTCCCTGGAAGGACAAAAATGCTTTTTTGGCTGCCACATTGTTATTATAGCACCTCAGAAGTAACTGGGATCCAGCTTTTACTATAATTATTGTGTTTTATTCATGCGTCAGATAATAAGTCTTGTATATTTAAATGCCTACTATGTTACGTAGTCAGCTTTTGAATGCCAAGATTAGCTGGGTATAATCTGTGTTGTAGGAATCTTTGAAGTTAGTAGGTGGGGATTTTACAGGGCCAACTAGAACAATCTCTGGGATTTAAAGAGTCTGAGTCATTACAAATAACCTTTCCAAGACAGTTAGAACTTGTCTTTTCAGGTAACGTATCTTGCATTTAAATGTGTTTTAAACATAGGTTCTTGTACAGTGTTTAAATTAGGAGCACCCTTCTCTTTGATAAACTGTCCCTACTCCCAGTAACAATTCTGTTCCGACTGTGCGGCCTGCGCTAGAAGGAGAAACGGGTGGCTGCATCCAGCAAGCTGGTTCTTTTGCAACATACAGGCTATAACCTTTTCTTTAATTCTTTCCTTTCCTAGCAGCAACCCATATCACAACAAGCTTCTCTGCAGCAGGTGCTTGCCAGCCAGCCGGTTTGCCCAATCCAGCCTGCAACCCATCTGTTACCCCAGTATCAACCGCAGACCTCTCAGGTGGCAGCTAGCAGTACACCACTAAAACCCCTTCAGATTTCAACCGTGCCACAGCTTCCACCCGTGGCCCCTTCCCAGGTAACAGCTTTGAAAACTGTGTGTGAATACTACCATTTTGAGTAAAGCTTTCCAGCTAATAATTAACATGATTTGCAGTTTTTGTGTGGCTATTTTGAATGCATGCCAATTTAGTTAGTCTGTAAGAGTATAGCTTTTTCCAAATTCCTGTGTATTTCTTTATTCTTTGGTTTTGTTTGGTGAAGCAAAAATCTCCTTTGTGAGTAATCCTGTGTCATGCCTAGAGAATCCAGATAATGGCAGTTACAAAATTGCAGTAACTGCTGCTTTTTTTTTTTTTTTTTTTTTAACTTCCCCTCTGGCATACTCTCTCCTCCATCCCAGGCTTAAGAGCATGAGAAGTTGCCCATTTTTTTTCTTTTTCTGAACTCCTTACTTCACTGTTTTCCCCATCATTCACCCACCTCCACCTCCCTAGCTCTTAGCCTTGTTTTGGTCTCCGGTGGCAGGAACGGACCCTTTCCTTGGCCTGGAAGGGTTTATGTGCTATTATTGTGTTTGCTAGTGACAGCCACCATGGTGTGAAGCAGCTTGTGCCGAAGGGAAGAAGCAAGCTGCTTCCATGATAACAGGGTAGTTATGGTCTGCTACGTCACTGGGAAGTTTTGATTGTAAAAATCTTTTTATGGACTCTTCCATGCTGCCTGGGTTGCAGCCAGCCTGTTTAAAAAGAAAGGTTTTAAATTGTCTTACTTTCATTTTGCATGAAAGACTTTTGCATTTTGTCTGGACTGATTCCTTTTAATTTCTGTTAAAATGAAAGCAACTTTTAATTAGTGTGTTGCTTGAACGCTTCAAGCTAGCATTAGAAATAGTTTTAAGCTTCTAAGGTATAAAAACATCCCCCCGAAATGAATTTTTTTTTTCCTCTTTTACTAATGATTTAAGCATAAACCAATTGTTACTACTGTTTATAAACCTCAGGAAATGAATGGAAGTGATTAACAAACAGACATAATTATCATCATGGCACAGGTGATTTTTACGTACTTGTATGGCAAATGAAACAACTTTGTACCATCAGTGAAAGCACTTGCAATTTATGTGATATTATATTTTTTTCAGATTCCTCAGTTTCCTGTCATTCCTGCAATTACTCCTCTGGCAGGACTTGACAGCCTTCCTCCAAACCTCTCTGATATACCTGCTGCAAACGTGCCCCCCATACCTGCTCCTTCTCAGTATTTTGCTCCAGCGGTGATTTTACCAAGCCTCCCCATGAACCCCACTCTACCTATGGCACCAAACTCCCCTGCCCTCCCCATGCAGGCAGTCAATCTTCCTCATACCACTGTGGCTTCTTTGGTCTTGCCCTGCCAAACGATAGTGCCAAATATGTCGGCTGCTACGATACCATTGCTTGCCGTGGCTCCGCCAGGAGTGCCAGCGTTGCCACCACATCACGGGGTGCCCCAGCTCCCCCAGCAGCAGATGTACCCGACCACCTTCCAGCAGATCATTCCGAACGAAGCGCCCTCTCCCCATCACACGCAGAGCACGCAAGCAGTATCCCAGCCGCAGCAACCTCCACCTCCTCAGTCACTTCAGCCAAGCATAATTCATCCTTCAGAACAGACTCTGTTTGCGCCTGGGGCTGGTCACCAGGTAATCCACTGGGCATGGGGCTGTGTCAATGCCGGACCGCAGGGTGGTTACGGAACGTAGGCATTCCCGGGGCTTGCTCCGTTGCCAGTGCACAGTGGGGAGGTGTTTGGCCTTGCTCTTAAGAGGGGTTGTTAACTTCTCGACCTCCATCCTGGAGGTGCTTGCTAGAGCTGTGAAGTCAGGTGGAGCCACGTGAGCTTTTAATCCGGGGACAGGTGATTATCGAGGATATAGGGAACAATCTAATGGACTTTGGAAAGGGAGCAGACAGAAGGACTTTTGGAATTCCCTCTTCCCTTCTCCCATCTCAAATATGAAGGAAGTATGAGCTGTCGTTCTCCTGCGGCAGGAGAAGAGACTGAGCCATGATGGCGACAGCACAGCCTTGCCGATGCCTTCGCTCCAGTCTGCGCAAGATGCGTGGGCTGCTGTAGCCTCATGGCAAAATATGGGTGAGCTGGCAGGAGTGATAGAGTTGTTTTGATGTAGAACTACTTTAAAACAGTAAAGGGAAATGACCGTTTGATAACGACTTTAGAAAACTGTGTGGAAGAGGTCTATCAGACAAGAATGAATTCTAGCTGCAGACCCTGTCTCCCTTTAAAAGAAATGAAGCCTAAAATGGAGCTTCTAATATTAGCACTATTTACAAGAGAACTGGTTCAGAACTTGTTCACAGAGTCTGTAAATACTTCTATTGCCACATTTGTGATATGACAACATGAAATGCAGTCTGACCCAAGCAGGAGAGAGCGCTCAATCTGTTAATAATAGCATTCTTGAAAATCTGTGTTCTACCACATCACTTTGCCATAACATATTGATTCATAACATCCCATTTCAACCTGCCATATCATGGCATCTTCAAAGTAGTACACCATTTTTAAATTTCTCTCCTCAGATGTATATTTGGTGCAGAAATACTGTTTGTGAAAACGTAGGCAACACTGAGCCCCAGATAATTACCGCTGAGCTCATTAGCCATAATGCTTCCAGTGGCTTTAGAGGGAATTGTATCAGGCCCATCATGCATGGCAAGCACCAAAACTGGAGAACTGATATTCCCAAACTGTCCTGACACAGCCATTATCTATCAAATATGCACAGAAGAATTGCCTAATAGCTATTTTTTCATCCTGAAAAATATTATTACGAACAACATGGACAAGTAGAGAGGAATATTCAAAAATGCATTGTTCTGTGTTTTAAAGTACTTTTGATGGAGACGTATTTCTGTAAATAAAGGCTTTCCAATGCAGTGCTGTTTGGGCAGTTGATGTTTAGCACCTCTGAGTTTAGTTTTGCCCAGGTAAATATACATTGAAGCATTTTGTGAATTATTCTAGTTATATAAGATTTTTTTAAAAAAATTTTGGTGCTCTTCTGCAATGTACACCATGGTTGCTATTCTAACAATCTCCACTTAGGCAGTCGTGTAACTGTTATGTGTTGTGAAGCACACCGCATGTTTATTTTTATCTGCATTAAAACCTGGAATAATAATTTCAACTCATATCCAGAATCGGCAGAGAGCATACAGTAATGAAATTGTGTGGCCTAGTTATCATCTGAGTCTTGGGTTTTTTTTCTTTTTCTTTTTAATATGTTCTCCAAATAGTCTAACTATCTAGATGATGATACTTTAAAAAAGTAAAAATTAGGCAGTTTTACCTAGTACTAAAAAGCCCTTTTTCTTCCATATTTTTCTTTCTTTCCTTTTTCCTCTTCCCACAAGCTCAGTCCCCTTGGAGAAACACATGATGCGCCTAAAAGGAGAATGTTCTGTTCTTAAATGTACAGCTCAGAAAGAACTGTTATGCAGAATAACAACATATTCTCTAAGGTAGTTGGCATCTGATCGCATCAGTCCAGTTCCCACAAAGTGCTTACGCACACGAGTTATTTTCATGCACTGAAGAAATCCACTGAGATAAATGACACTTCCTCTGTGCGCGTAACACAAGGAAGCATTTGCAGGATCGGGGCCTTGGTGCTTAGCATGTCAAGAGTTAAGTTGTGTCTTAAATGTTTAAACTAAATGGAAAACAATGTGTTCTGTAAGACACTGGTATATATACAGTAAAAAAGAGTTAATTGTGTGGTCTATACCAGCTACTGGTTCTACATATATAGCAGATTTTTTAAAAATAGTAATTTAGATTATGGGTAGAGTGTATTTTTCTCTGCATGGACATTGTGGTGGTTATTAATAACCTAAGATTTTAATTTCTTGGCAAAAAGAAATGGCCTTGTTTCTACAAATTAAAGAGCACCTGAGCAATGGACACATTGTTGTAATTATATAGGAAGAATCCTTAGATTTTGATTTGGTCATTTCAAAGCAAGCTGAAACTCTTTAAGTAGTTCCCTTTCCAAGCAGAGACCACACAAATACAGTCTGACTGCAGAATTACAATCCTTTCTCCGTGAACTCTGGTGGCTTTAAGTACCTTGTAATGTAAGTCACAAGCACTCTAAGCAGAGATTTGTTTTAATAGCTGTCTGTTGTGTTACAGCAGATTACTGGACACACTCAGTATGCTTTGGAAGCTGGAGCCCAGGTGCCCGTGCTGCCTGTGCAACCTTCGATAGTCATGTCACCGCCTTTGCAGTTGCAGCCTGAACTGTTACCTCCCCGCGCCGCTCCAGAAGGCATTTCACAGATTCATGGCAGCCTTGCTACAGCTAGTCCGCCTGTCCCCATAGATCACTGTCTGCCTCTTCAGCCTTCTGGCCTGCTCCAGCTTCAGCCCGATCTTTCCCAGCCGCTGGGTCAGCAGCTCCCAGCTCCCTGCTCAGCTGTCCAGGCAGCCGCAGAGACATCTCAAGAGGTAGAGCCGTTTCCTCGGAAGTAACTTGCCGACCTCACCCTTAACCTGCATTCTTACTCCTTTGTGAAATAATGGGCTTATTTCACAAGGGAGATTATCGCCTCTCACCATATAGAGCCGCTTGTCCTAGGTGCTAGCTACTCTGGGTCAGCAAATAATTGGCCATTTCAAATGAAGCTGGAAACTGCATGTTGTACCTTGTGAAATGTCTCCTAGAAGTAATGAGGCAGCAGGACTCAGTACCTCTTTATCCGTAGCTGAGCACAAACACGGAGATAGAAATCACTTTCTTTTAGGTGCCGTGGGTCAGTAAGAAACTGTTCTATAGAGTTTCATCCATGTTTTGTCGAGTCTTGTTTTTTTAAATGTGTCCAGCGCTTGTGCAACCAGCCATCATTTGCCTTAAGAAACTGCTTCGTAATCTGATTCTTCACTATGTAAAAGCTCTTCATGCTCCTCAACTTGAGCCTTGCTCGCATTTCATTTAGTGTTGTATCCTCCTGTATTGCCTGAATTCTAGGCTAGCCCTGGGTTTTTTTTTTTCTTCAGATATTTGTAGGCATTTCCAATTCTCAGTGGTCATATAAGTAAGATGACACACTTTATTGTTTTTCTTTATAAAATTGTCAGCTCCTCCTGTCTGGTATTTTGGCTTGTCTTTCCGCTCCCATAATTGTTTAACCTTCAGTCTTGACAGGATGTCACAGAACATTTCTTTCTCTTCAACTCTTTTACAGATATCCATAAGCAAAGCAAAACAAAGGTTTTGGCATTTGTATCAGATTTCAGTACAAAAGTCTAATTTGTTCTCCATTTCTGAATGGAAATGTCCCTCAGCAGTTCTGCTTTCAGATTAGTTCCTCTTGAGGCTCTCTGTTCTGAGCTACCTTTCCTCCCAAAGTAGCAGTTTCTGTCTTTTCTCCCAAAGTAGCAGTTTCTGTCTTTTCACATGAAATCTTTTGTTTTTACCCACGCTTTCACGCACTTGTCGCATGCCTTGACTACACAGTACAGCCTATGAATTTCCTTAGAGGTACAGCTGGAAGGTGTTCGGTAAGGACACTACTGATGCTAAAACTACATTCTAGTTCCCCATTTTGCCTGTCCTGCTAGTGGCAGTCTAATTCCCGTCAAATAAATACTCATGCTGTGATGTAAGATATTTCGTGGTGGATTTCTGTATCCTGTAGGTTAGGTAGCAGAAACGGTAGAACCCATCTATAGTGTTTCACTTGCAGAATCCCCAAGTAAAGCCTGGCTGTGTCAGACTTCTCCCTTACTCAAGGTATTTCTTCTCCAGCTGCTTTTTTTCTGTACGCACAGCTCACGTCAGGTTCAATGCTGATGCCACAGCTACAGCCTTCAATGCAGGGTCCCATCCCATTAGAGATTCTGGAAATAGAAATAAACCTCATTGTTACTGCGCAGTGTGATACAGGGATACAAGTTGTCTGATATTACCTGAGAAATCCATGCCCACTGAGACACATGTCTGTCCTGTCACTTTATCGTATCCCTAGGAACATTTAACCACTATTTTGCTAACTTCATTCTCATATTTCATCTGTAAGTTAACTCCCTTCTCTCTTTCAATTTAAGAAATCGATCCAGTGTCATAGGATGGTCAAATTGATCAATGTGCTCCCATGCTGATTTTATGACATATATTGCTAAGGTTTTCTTGGATGTAAGAGGAGTTTCATATCTGTATATATTCGAAACACTGCATTTTGTTGCTACTCTGCCATAACATTTTTATCTCTTGTTTAAACATGTGGCAGTACTCACATCCAAACCAGTCTGAATTGATCAGGCAAATGAGATTTTGTAAGGCACTTGATCAAGTGCAGTACTAAAATTTAAATACATTATGTCTGTGTTCTCACTGTTCATTAATTTTGCAGTTTTATTGAAACTGCAGTCAAGCTTGGCATGGCGTATGTGTGGCATTATAAGCAATGAGTGGGGTTGACTGGTTAAATGCTAACTCCAGTCTACCAGCTGCTTTGGTATTAAGAAGTAGTGATGATAGTCAGGGGGCTTGTTTCTAGCTGTTTGTCTGGAGAAGGATTTTATAGACATATGTTTGTAAATATACATATAAATATAT